ATCTACCAATAAACCACAATCTCAGCTCTCAGGATGCAGTTCCAGGGGTGTCCCAATTTCTCAAGCTTCCATCTTGCATCATATTTTCATTAAGGAAGTTTTCCAAAGAATGTTACCATCACTGACAGCAATGCAAGGTCAAGAATGATGCAAGCCCATGAGAGCTCTACTGAACGTGGATCTTTAAAAGATGACAGCTGACACAATGAGCTCTTTCATCTGCAGTTATTTTTAAAAGATATTCAGAACTGAATTTCAGTACTGGAAATAAGCAGAGAGGCTGCTGACAGAGGTACATGAAGAAAAAAGATACCTGAATTTATTAAATAATTTTTAAACTGCAAGGAAAATCACAGCTGTACTATTTATCATTCTTTTAAAAACAAAAACACTGATATGATGATGCTTGCCAATCAAAAATAATAACTGCACACAAGCCAGCTTTAAATACACTGTACTGATCTTTCCTGGAAATCTCCTAATGCAGCCTGCCAGGTTTAACCAATATCCTTTAGCTTGCAAGGCAATTTCAGAAATAATCTAATTGACTTTATTGACTCACATTGGTAAACAGGAAATAGAAGCTGGACTCCTGCCCACTAACTGCTTCCCAAGAAATTACTGTGTGCAATAACCAATACACCAGATGCTCATCAGTTCATACTCCAATTCCTGCTCATTCAACATGGTACAAAAGAAACTGTAGAAAATTAAACAGAGGCTACCAATAGCTGTACTTCATGTCTGGTGTGGTACTGAACACCCTGTGCTACATAATAGTAAAACTAAAAAACGGGAAAAGAAAAAAAAAAAAGAAAGGAAAAAACCCTGCATGTCCATTTTATTCTAATCATTATTTCTCTCCTGGCAATATGGAGTTAGGTCCCACATAAAGAAAAATGTCAAAAGCAATTTTACAAACAGAGTTCAGGTCAAACCTTGCTCACCATAATGTGATGGAGTCTCAGAGCAACATTAGGAGGCACATGCTGAGTGCATCAGGAAAAGTGCAGGAATTCTCGCTGCTCAAGGACAGGTGCTGGCCGGCTAAAGACCACTTCTTGCATATTTGGACTAACTCAGCACGTTACAATTAAACCAAGATTTTCATGTCAGTCAGATCACAAACCACACGGCCTGTGCACATTCTCAAGTGTGAGATCTTTACGTATGATTCAATACATCTTGATGACACTTCAACCCAGGAGAGGTCCCCTCCCCAGGGACACGCTTCTGGTTACATGAGCTGCCTTTGAGAAGGCTGAGAGTAAATCTCACATGGCAAAGCATTACTTCCCAAAGCGCGAACTACCCTCGTAGCATCTGTAAAGCCCTTTGTGAGCTGCCACACCGGCAGGGAAGTGCCACTCCTCGGCAGGAGCCACGGCCACAGTTACCGCCCGCCTCCGCCCAGGAGCATAGCCCGGCATCCCTCCGCTCCCAGCGGTGCTCCAGCCCCGGCAGGTGCTCCCACTGCCGATGGAGCCGAGCTCCCGGGCGGCCGCAGCACGGGGGCACCGGATGGACCCCCTGATGCCCCCGACACCACCCGGGCAGCGCAGAGCCCCGGCTGGAGACGCCCTCGGCTGACCCCGCTCCGCGGGACCCCGGACAAGCGGGACGGCCGGAGGGAGGGCGAGAGGGATGGAGGGAGGCCCCGCGGGGACGCGCCGCCGCCCCCACCGCCGGGGCCTCACCCGTGCTCGTCCTCGTCGCAGGCCAGGTTGGCCCGCCGCGCCCCGAGGGCCGCTCCCGCCGACGTTGCCTTGCTGCCACTCTTCTTCAGGATGCCTTTGATGGGCCCGCGGCCCGCGGTGGCCGGTACGGAGGGTACCGAGGGCACGGAGGGCGCCTCCATGGCCGCGCCGCCCGCCCGGTGCCGCCCGCTCGGTGCCGCCGCCGCCCCGGCCCGGCCCGCCCCGCGCCAGCGCCGCCGCCCCAGCCCCGCGCTCCCGCCCCCTGGCGGCCGGGAGGACCGACAGCGCCTCCGCCCCCGCCTGCAGGGCGCCTGCGCCACCGCCGGGGGGCGCCCTGCGCGCGCGGCGCTCGCGCATGCGGGGGGGAAGGAGAGCACGCGGACACCGGGACACACACGGACACTGGGACACGGGGACACACACACGGACACGGGGACACGGGGACACACACACGGACACGGGGACACGGGGACACACACACGGACACGGGGA